TTTTGCTACTAAATACTTGATCTTTTTCTCCACCTTTCCCTTTAATACAGCCCATACATTTTCAATAGGGTTCAAGTTTGGGCTGTATGAAGGCCAAGAAAGAACTCGTTCTGGAAGATATTTTTTCAAGTCCCTTTGAACATTGTGTGAGGTGTGTTTTGGGTCATTATCTTGTTGAAAGTCCCAGCTGCGTCTATATAACATATTCACGTTATTATACAGATGGTCGTCTAAGATTTTTTAATAGAAATGACAATTCAAATTTTCAGTAAACAAATGAATGCTAATTTTTCCTTTAGCACTAATTGCTACCCAAACATGAATCTTGAATGGGTGCTTTACCATAGAGGCAATTGGTTCTGCATTATAAGACCATACACACATGATATTTCTAAACATCTGAAGTGTTATTTCATCAGAAAAAATAACTTTTTGCTAGTTGTATCATGAATGATCACGTGCTTAAGACAAATAAGATTCCTTCACTTTTTGGGTTAAGAGAGGAATCTTTCTTGGAAGAACATAAACATATCCAAGATTGTTGAGCTCACAACATATCTTACGTTATCTGACATCAAGATTGGAATCTTTTTCTTCCAATTTTGCCTTAATTTCACCTACTGTAGTAAAATGATTATGTTGCAGAATTTTTCCAATATAACAGCGTTGATTTGAAGCCAATTTTCTTAGACGGCCAGAAGAGTGACCAATAGAAATTTTGCCAGTTTTATTTAGTAAACTGACATATCGTTTACATGTGCACAAAGGAATGCACAATCGATTAGAAATTTCCTTTGCATTACGCACTTTTTGGTCCCAAAGTGACTTAACAAAATTTCTTTATATTTTTAAAGAGCTTAACATAGTTTCAGAAAGGAAATCAAAATAAAAACAAATATTAAATCTTATTTTTTAACTTACCTTTTTAATTCAGGTTCTAATGTCTGATTTGGGCATATTACAAATGCTTAAATCCAGAAAGTGGTAAAACCACAGCCTAAAATAGATGTGGTCTTCCACTGCCATTCTTTTCACCAGGGACTGTATATATATATATATATATTTTTAATAAAAAATAAAATCTAATGATGACTTACCTAAACGATTCTCAAATAATAAGGGAATAGCACGAAAGACGGTGAACATCCAACTAGTATTATCTATTGCATTATCAGAATAGTAATCCAAAAAGAAACCAATCATCACGACATCTCTCTGTCTTCCTTCACTACATTTTATCGCAGTTTCCAAATCACTTTTTTTTGGTTTTTTTGGCCATTCGTAAAGACATGAAGTATGAAGATAACGTATTGAAAAATCTGAATCTTTTGTATTTAGGATTTGCTGCACTAGGTTTATATGACGACTATATACAAGACTAGCTATCACATTATATCTAACATCGATTAACCTCTATATGACAGGGAATTTTAAAATAAATTTTCTAATCAATGTTTCGATTTTATGAACCAAATTTTCATAATGCTGCTATTTCTTTAAACCAGTAGGATTATCTCTCTTCTCATATAAATAACGGAAAGCAGAACAAGCATCGTTAATAGTATTTCTCTGATAAGATTGAGTTGACTGTGAAGATAGTGTAACTTTAAATTCACGTTTTCCTATTTCTAATGATTTAATTATTAATATATCTTTCATTAGAATAACCCAAATATATTTAAGTCTTTTCTTTGACCTCTTATTTTTTCTATACCATACTTGTAAGGTCGTTTTCCTGATGAATAATTGAGTTATTTTTTCATTATCCAGAAAAGCAGAAATATGACCATAATTTTTATTATGTACCCAAAGTTCCATATTGTTTACTATAATAGAACTTTTTTCTAATTCAGAGTCAGCATCAAAATATTCTCTATTTTGATTAAAAATAGTATGAAAAACAGCTTGATCTCACTCAGAATTATGAAGATATTGTAAACGAAGTTCTATCAATTCTCTCTTCGATATAAAAGATGGAACAAGTATATTTTTAATAAAAGAATCATTTAATATAGGTATAACACTTCCATCTGAATTATCAATTAATAAAATAGTTCCACAATTTCTTACTAATCTATATTGTTGAAATGGAAATAATTTTTTAATATCTCGTAATACCTTAATAGCATTATCTATATAACTAAATAAATCCTAAATAATTATCAAAGGGGGAATTTTCTTTTTCTTATGCAATAATTAATAGTGATTCATCCTCATTTATAAAATCCAATAAAAGGATTCTCTCAATATGAGGAAAACATTGTATAGAAATTTCCAATGAATTTTTCATTAAATAAATAATAATTAAATTAGTACCACGACAGTAAGCTAATAATGTTTTATGTCTTGAAATGGCTACAGCGGAACTACTATGACCAAATAAAGTTGCTACAGATTCTGCTCTTTGATGAAATACCATTTCTAATTGATTAGTTCTCATGTTATACATTTCTACCACCTGCATTTTATCTTTATAATTTTCAATTATGAAATAATCGTTTTCTATACTCCTACTTAATAATTCTAAACATAGAGTGTTTTGATAGAGTTTTTTAAGTTCAGCTTGAACCTTTAATGGAAAAATTAATTCTTGTCTTAGAGCAGGTTAAAGAAAAATTGGTAATTTTTCCCACCATGAAGAATAATCATCATATGTTAGAGGTTTTTTTATAGTAATGTTATTCATATTGAATGATGTATTGGCTATTCTATTAATATTTAAAACAAGTATTGTGGCCGTATATGGATCCAATGGATCATCATCTAAAAATCTAACTAATCCACCAAATTCATCAACTTCTGTATATATCCTTACTTTACGCTATGTTGAAATAACCTATGTAGCTGCATTCATTAATTTAATCAATTTCCTTGCCTTTTCTTCATTATTAACTTCATATGATGAATGGTGAAACTCTATTTTCCCATCTTTTCCACTTGATGTTCTTAATTGATGTTGATATGTTAAAGAAGCAATTAGCGATAATAATTTTCTTAACATCATATCTTTTTCATCGAAACAGCTAAGAGCTATTAATGTTTTAGCATGCATATCTTCATTATCTACTTGATCAATTGGATTAGAAATTGCTAGTGACTATACTAATCTAGCGGATGTGTCAATATCATGAAGTGCATCACATTTTATTAGACTTATTTCAGATAACGAATTAACTTTGCCCATATTTAACTCAAGAGTAACTATTTATTATTAAATGATTAGAAATTATAAAATTATAAGAAAATATTATTTGGAAATAAGTAATTTAAAAACAAATTTTACTTGTGTTAAAAGTGGTGACTTGCTGACCGTTTGGACTTATTACTACATGAAGAGTAGAATACAAATTAGTATCATAGTGACTTAAATATTCATTACTACTTTGTTCTGTAATAATTTCTTCTACTTTTTTAATACTCATATTTTACTTGAAAAATTGGAAAATTTGATTTTTATTAAAAAATTTTTTCATTTAATAAAAGAATTTTTTTATTTTTTTTTTTTTGTAATTTTTGAATAAAAAGAATAAAAAGGAAAGCTTTAAAGAAGATGAATTTTTTTTTTTAAAAAAAAAGGAAATAAATTTGTGTACAAAAATTAAAATACAAAAAAAAAAGTATCTTATTTAACAAATATGTATATAAGAATTTATACTTATTTTACTTTGCTTTCTTTTATAGAATCAGAATTAACAATTTAAATTTCTGAATATATATGATTCACTGTAACATATAATTTATACGTCCAATCACTTGTTAATTTATACATGTTCATATAACAGGTTTATTTATTCTCATTTTTAATTTATTTATATATTTTATTTATTTACGCAAAAATAATTAAAATAATTTTTCAAACCTCTAGTTTTTGAAA